AAAAAAAAAAAAAAAAAAAAAAAAAAGATATTCGGTATCATTACATGTTATAGTATCACTGTCTTATTTGATTTTATAATTTAGTGCAAATTCAAGAAACAACATGAGTGATTATTGTAATTATATAATTTTTTTGTTTTGAGACTATCTTTAAACATAAAAACTAGTTTCACTCAACAGTGCAACCTATGGTAATCTTTGTCATTTTAAATGTGATACATGCATGCAAACTGCTACCAAGGGTTAATCATACTCACTCTCATAATAACCTGGATCCAAGTAATGTGCAAGAGACTGAATTCTTATACCAGATATCATTTATGAAATGAAGTAGAAGTGAACACTGTCTTTGCACTATTTCATCTACTATGGTCTCTTTGCTAGTGTTGCAAATGATGATTTTTCTTGAAACCTCTATCTAGTCATCAGGCTTAAGGTTTCAGTAGTAATGCAAACAAAATTAATTTTTTCTCACTTTTTCCTCACAATAGTCTTAAAGAAGCATAAATGGAAGTGTATCTTACTTACTGATTCCATTTGATTTAATTTTAACAATTTCAGAGATTAAGTTTCTTAACCCTTAAGATAGTCTGAATTTTTCAAACAGCTGCATTTATCTTTTTCCCCTATGAAGACATTTTATGTAAGTTTAAATATTATATAAGCATAACTTTCATATTATTCAGAAATTGTATTTATTTTAAAACTATTATGATGATTCATGATTTCAATGTTCATACAATGAATATTGACCTATATACACTATGAATATAGTATTAAAATCCATGCAAAATATTCTCACACAATATTACAACATCATACGCAATTCAGATGAGATACATGTATAAGGTATTAGCTCTTCATTTACAAGAATTTTCTGACAATAGCTACAAAGAATGTATCTATTACTTAATTTTTTGTATTGTACGTAGAAAAAAAAAACCTTTCCATTTTATTACCCAAACAGCATTTAAAATTCTAAGAAGTCTTAACAAATAAATCTTACCATCAGTATGTCTTAACAGATCACATATTATGTTACTTCTCAGTGCCTTTTTTACTGTAAATACACATATTATTGGCTCTGATAACTAATCTTTACAGTTAATTTTTAGTGAGTTATTACTTAACACTTTAGTGTATTATTGACCCAAACTTGATACATCAGGTCAATAGCTGCATTGAAAAACTCTCTACAGAGTGTCAAAGGTAATCTTTCTATCCATACTTATAAGATAGCATATAACTTTAAATATATTATAAAATACTTTAATATTATTTATTGTATGGCCTTACAAGCAAATGACACACACCTAGACATTCAAAGAAGTCTGTTTTTTGTTATTCTAACAGTCTTACACAGCTAAATCACATGGTCTATAAAATTACACGTATTCCTTGTCCATGTTCAAAGCACCTTCTTATTGCAATTTGGATAATACTGTAGACTAAGTTTCTGCATTTTTAATTTCCTTGACTGCTGCTTCCCTGTCTCAAATGCTACAGTTTTGAGATTGTTTTGTTTTGTTTTACTTTTTCACTTTTCTAATTGTTTGTGATGATTCATCAAATGAAAATATTTCCTCGTTTGGTTATAAAACATATTATATTAAAACTGTCCTTATTTTGTTTTTTAATTATTCTCTATATATTATCTCCTCACCTGAAATATTCTAGGATTTGTGAACTGGCCCTTCATTGGAAATCATTCTTATTCCCTCCCATGTTATAAACTGCTGCAATTGGCCATTATTCTTTCTAATATAACTGTATGGTTCTTTTACGCTTTTTAACTTTTGTTCATCATAAATATTTATCAGTTTCACTAACATCTAAGCTCATGTTTAACCTCAAAATTTTGCATCACTAGAGACTGTCAAAATATTTGTTTTCCTACCTGGAAGCTGTAACTGTTTATAATTCAGGAATCCTTATAACATGTTTCCTTTACACATATTTTATGATATGCCAGTTCTCTAAAACATTCCTTAGAGTTCCAAAATATGTCAGAATGCACAGAAAGTTAAGCATCACAGAAACTCAACTTTCTATGTCATAATATTCATAATTTTTAAAGGATAACGACATCATTCTTCTCCAAAATTTTCTACCTCCCCATTATTGAACCTCTATTGCTGTTGTTGTTTGCTTATTTTCATGATAAGAATACTTATAAAATCATTTAGAAAATCCCTTCTAGCAAAATTATATTATATAGTACTCACTAAATAGAACCACAGCACTGTACAACAGACTGGTAGGTCTTATTTATCATGTACTATGTATCTTATCTAAAGAAAAACATATTAATTATTTATGACAATTATTCAGTATATTTCCTTTCTTCCATTCTGTTTTAATTACTATGATTGCCTTCTGATTAAAACATATGGATTACAAAATACAAAAACATACTTAAATCAATGCCAATTCTCTGCTTTTGTGTATATTTCTACTATATTTTTAAAAATGAAAGTTTTCATTTGTAAATAAGAATTAATGTGGTTAATTCAATTTCATATACTTATGATAAATCAGAGGCAAATTTTTAACAATGCTATTGTGGTATATTTTGAAATGAATTTTTAAATATAAAATATAATGCTCATTGTGTTTATAGGCAGAAATTAAGTTTCAAGTAATATAAGAGAAATTCTACTTTTGTGATTTGGATGACATGGCATAAAAATAGTTCTACAACTTCAATATGTTAGTGGTATGTTTATTTTTTCAGTAATTTATGCTTGCCTTTGAAAGTTTTTTAAAATTTATTACCCTTGAATTTGTGGGATAAATATTTTTCTCTAAACAGCTAAGTAGTAAAATATATTATCTGAGTAGGTTAAAAAAAAGTGAAGCAGAAGGAGGGGGAAGAGGATTTTAGAAAAGGATCAGTGTATGTTTTGTCCCTGGAACAACTCTCCATGAAGAATGTGCTCAGTATGCACTACAAACATGTGCTGATAAAAGTTAAACACATAAAATGAAGAAATTTATAAAAGTCAAAAACTTTATTAATGAGTAATATTGGTCCACAAACAAATAACTGAATAAATAGTAAAAGAAATTTCCAAGAAAAAATGAGATTTTCAAATTTCAACAGCTGTGACAAAAAAGATTGTTACTTTTCCTTCTAAACAAATATATGAACATACACATACCAACAAACCCTTCTAATAAAAGCATGCATTCTTATTAGTAGTAAACGGCTTTGTATAACTGAAAAAAGTATTTGTGAATCTCTTCTCATTTGCATTCATTTAAGAGGCTACATTTGGTTATATTTTTATTAATCTCACTTACTTTAAAAATTCAATCGGGGAAGTTATAAAGCACTTGATATTTCTTCGATACAGGTCATCATCATGAAGCACTGCGGGAGGTAAGAAAAGCAATTCATAAATTTCTTATACAAACAGACACTTCTGAGACCTCCCATGGGCACAACCCAGTTAAAGTATGTTTAATTTCATCCTCAGGTGGTTTTAGCAGGAAAAAATTTCATCTCTACAGAGCTACCGAAACCATATCTGCAATTTAAAGATAAATGTACAAAGAAAATTTTATATTGCTGTACAAGACCTCATGTGTATTTTAATTTCAGAGTCTTAATAGATAAAATAAACTTTACCCCAAATTCAGTTAACATAATTTAACTCTGTATATATTAAGCATCTTTAAGTAATACTTAGTATTTTGTCTTAAGAAGCAACTTTACACCTGCACATTTTGAAACACAGCATTCTAAAGACTCTATACAATCAACACCACTTCAATGAGTGTTACTATTAAGAGTACACTACAGCTGTAGATGTAATTTACTCTCTTTAAAGCACTTGTCACCATTTTATGAGCATTCAGAAGGGTCACTACAACATGTCTTGATGCAAAGTGGTGTTTTATCCATGGTGTGGTCCTACTGATGCCCTTTCAGATGCTCATAGTACTTAGGTCAAGGAGATTTTAAAATATTATTATTTTAAAAATTTTTCCTTTTTTCTTTGTTTTCTAAAATTTAGAGTTTGGATTTCAAAGTTTTTTTTTTTTTCCTGGTATCCTGATAGAATATTTTAGCTGTATCTTTCAGATCTCTGGAAATGAACCATGAAAAGGCTCAAAGAGTTCTACATTTACTATCCAGAAATTCTCTCAATTCACCTCTCTGGAAAATACCTCACTTTTGCTTTAATTCTGTCTGTATGCAGAACCTTTGATTCACTCTTGGAAAAACTGTCTTGTAATTTCCAAGGCTTACATAGGATCAGTTACTGATGCATGAGAAGTAAGAAAGGATATGGAAAAGTAGCTGTTAAACAAAATTTACAAAAAAATCCTCATTCCCCAGTACTTGGGAATAAACCCAGGACCATGACATTAAACTATATCCCCAAACCTTTCTAGCTTTCACTTTTGTTTTTTGAGACAGGATCTCTCTATGCAGCCCAGTCTAAGCTTGACCTCACTATGTTACCTCACTATGGCCTTGAAGTCACCATCCTCCTGCCTCAGCCTCCTGTGTGCTGGGATTATACATATGCACCATCACGCCAGACTTTACTCCCAACTTTGGATATTGATGCCCTACCCATTTATTTTTGATATTTCTGTACTAAATGATTAACACATATCCATATGTTTCCTCATATTTCTGTTAAGTGCTTTACAGATTTGTTTCATTTGTGCTAAGATCTGTTCATTTTGGTTGAGTTTTTGGAGGAAGTAGAGATGTTCATCTTATTGTTGTAACTCCTTCTCTATACATCTTTACTTGAAGAGTTGCTCAACCATGCATCTGAAATTTCCTGAAAAAAATGAAACGGCACATTCAAGTTCTGTTATCATCACTAGTGTTAGTGGCTAATGATTATGAAGATTTTCTTTTGTCATTGTCCATTAACTTTCCTGTTTTATTTGGTTTACTTTGGTTTAGTTTCTACATCCTTCTTGGCACCTAGCTCCACTGAGGCTGCTCCTGATTATCATTCATTCTTTCAATGTCAAAGCATGGGAAGACACTGCTCTGTTTTCATGTATGAAGAACTCACAAATAACATTGAAAACTTACTCTTCGATTTTTTGATGTATATGTGAATATTTAATTTGATCGAGTATGAAAATCTTACCAGAAGTAATCAGTTTTGGGGAAAAGTACTGATTATTAATATAACTTCATTACTGTAGAAATACAAATCTGCTTTTCTCTCTACTAATACATTCTAAAATACAAATTTTGTGAAACTTCTATTTGATTTTAATGATACAAGAGTTTTGCCATGCTAAACATTATAGCAACTATATGTTCTGGTCCACCTCCATCATTTGGACTTGGCTACTACTTTTATATTTGCTACTTTACTATAATATACAGTGAAGAATTTGCTGAATTAAATAAAATTTTATTTTTAACAGTTCAGATAATAATCATAAACAGAGACTAAATTCAGATCAATACAAATGTAATGAGTAAAGTTAAAGAAATTTAGATGTGGGCGTTGATTAGAGCACAAGAAGAAAGGCAGTAATGACAAGCAGTAATGACAAAATTACTTTTCATGTTGCTGAGACAAAATACCTGACACTCTAAGTTAAAGGAAGAAAGGCTTATTTAGCTCACAGTCTATAGAGGTTTCATCTATAGTTGGCTGGCTTCAAGGCAGAGTGGCATAGCAGAGAAGCATCACAGAGAAGAAACTGTCCATGGCAAAATAGGGCTGAAGACAGCAAAGCAGCAAGCAGCAGCAGAAGCAAGGCTGCCTTTCCTCTCTCCCTTTACATTCCATATGAGCTGTAAACCTATTGATTGGTACCACCCACACCAGGGGTGGGCTTCCATTATGTATACCAAGAACTATGCCACACCAATTAGTAGACTAATCCATACACCTTTAATCCCAGAATCACACATTCACATTAATCCCAGAATCCACATTCACACAAAGTAGATCTGGCCACCTCCTAAAAGCCCCACCTATGAGCACATGAGGCTTTGGGGAACATCTAGATGCAATCCATAACAGTTACAAATATTAAAATTATTACAAATATTAAAAAATCAAAACATGAATTTCATTAACATCATTATAAGTATATAGTACATGCTAATATATAGTAATACACAAAATATATGTGAACATTAGGAGTAAAAATGTCAAATGGAATCTGTTAAATCCTGTCTGTTGAAGATTGTAAATTTCTAGGGCAAGAAGCCTGAGAATATCTTCATCTTCTCTAAAGTAATAACTGAGAATGAAGGGCTTACAGTTCCTTCAAAACTGATCTTTTCTACATGATCCTTCTGTTTTGATTTACATTTGTGAGACAGGATCTCCCCTTTACAGTCTGGGTTGGTCTCCTTGCACATGCTAGGTAGTCCAAACTGACTTCAAACTTGTCATCTCCATACCTTAGCCTCCTGAATACTGAGAGTATAGGTACACACCACCATTCCTGCTTCTATACAGTCTCTGTAACAGTCCTGAGACAAATGTTGACCAGTACATTTTCAAATGTATTATTATTCTTATTTTGAAATGTTTTGGACCTTTTTAACCATAGCAGAGAAGACACTCTCAATTTAATTAAAAGTGAAAATATCAGGAAGGCAAATGTACTTGTATTAATTACATCCAAAGTCTAATGTATTAAATCTACCCATATGCTCCCATATATATATTTAATCCTATTAAGTAAAAATATTAATGTTGTTACTCTAGCAGAGGCAGGAATTTGGTTAATTTCAAGTTAATTAAAGTAAACATCCTTTGCACTTAGAAAAGATGATCCTAAATTTACCTACCTGTAAGGACACTAAAAATTTATAATCTGTAATAATGAAGAAAACTAGTTAATATTGTAAAAGTAAATAATGAATAAGAATATAGATTCAAGGTAGATAATTAAAGAATATATGGTATATATTTTCATATATTTATGGAATGTTTTTTCCCTGAACCTCAAAATATATGTTGATTGGAGAACTTAATGTTCTTCCCCATGTCACAGCTTCTGCTTTTGTTTGTTCAATCTGCTTTTTCCTTTCTGTTATTTTAGTTAGTTGAGATTTCACTGTGATGGCTGGATGGATTCTGAATAAAAGGTTACTGAAGATGGTAATCAGGAGTCAGTGAGTCCTAGAGGCTGGTAGCACCTGAACACAGGATTTTGGCTCTCTTGGTTTGATGTTTTTCTTACTTTTCTTATACATCTGCTGGCACCTTGAGGGATCTGTTCACCCTGGACAGAGTTGGATGTGAAGCTCGACAATCAAGCAAGATGTTATTTCAGATATTATATTTTTTGCTCTGGAAGCTTTGTCTCAGTTACGTTTTCATCAGTGAAACACAATACCCAACATCTATATTTAAGGAGTAGAGGTTTACTTTGCTCGTGTTTTCAGTCCTTAGTTGGTACAAAGGAAGGAAGGGCACAATGACAGGATGTGGGGCAGGAGAGCTTCTCCTGTCATAGTGGCTTGCAGAGGGAGAAGAGAGGTGCCAGCTTGAGAGATGCAGCCTCCCAGCTCATTTCCCCAGTCCACACTCAGCCATAGACTCACATTGGATCAATCTGGAAGGAGCACAGTAACTCCATGATCTAATCACTCCCCTAAAGCCCCAGCCCTGAGCACATGAGTTTTCGGACATATTCTAGGTCTAACCCATAACAATCTTTATTTTAAATTTGCAAACTGAAACAGAACAAAATTTAAATTTCTGCTTTCACGTTATTCATGTTTTTCCTGAAATTATTGAGTGGGTTTATATTACCTTGTTAAAATCCTTTTTTGGCAAAGTCATTATCTCTTCCTTTTTACTGTTTTTTTTTTTTTCAAATAACTTTATTTATAAGTCAAAGCTTTTCTGAGATTTTGAGTATTCACAAAGGTCTCTAGTCTGGAAGATAGATTTAAACATCTGACAAACCTAAGTGAATTCCAGTAGCTCTTTAGCTTACAACTGCAAGATGGTAGCTTGAATTTTATAGGCTAATCTGAATTTTCCCCCTTAGTTTATCCTAGCTTTAAAAGTCATAAATTTTAGCCTAAGACTCATTATTGCTATGTAAATTCTGAGAGTTTTCCTCACCTCTCTGGTCTCCTTAATTTGTTCTTCTAGGACCATCAGGATCCTGAACGTTACCTTTATTTTGTTTCCGATAACTGAGACTCTGTGCTTTTCCTAGGATTTCTGTTCTAGCTCTGTATTTGGAAAGTACCTGTATACAAAACTCAATGTGAATTTGTGTTACAATTTTTTTCCTCTTTTTTTTTTATTTTAAAAAGAGTACTAAATGAGAAACAAACAAACAGAAGAGTAGCAACAAACCAGTATGACAAACATAAACAAATCAAAGCAAGAACAATCAAAGTGATACAGAGTCTCAAGACAAAATAATATGAATCAACAGGGGTTGTTACATTACATGTCACTATCCTCAACTACACTGCTCAGATTACCAGATGTAAGAATGGAAGACTGCTCAAACCATTGTAGGGAATAAGAAAATAATTCTTTGAGAAAACAGTAGAGATAATGCAGAGTTTCACTCGACAAGATGGTAGGATATTTATTTTTGAGGCAGTTTAGTTCACTGTTGCCTCACTCACAATCTCTCACCAGAGGTATAGTCAGTATTTTGCTCACTGTTATACTTGGTTTTTTAACTAAAGGCCCATATCATGGATAGTGTTATGGTTTGTGTCTGGGTGTCCCCCCAAAGCCTCATGCAGCCATGGGGCAGGCTTTTAGAGTTTGATTGATTATGGGAGTGAGAGCTACACCCGCCCTGGCGTGGATAGTTTGCATATGTAAGGGAGAGGAAGAGGCTGCTTGTGGCCATTCCTCCCCCATCCCTCCCTTTTGTGTTTCTTGTTTTGGCTGCGTTCTGCCGCCATGAGCTATAGTCCTCTGCCATGTGCCACTCTGCCTTGTAACCTGCCAAGTATGGACTAAAACCTCCACAAACTGTAAGCTAAATAAACCTTTCCTTCCTTAACTTTGGGCGTTGGGTATTTTGTCTCAGCAATGAGAGAAAAGTAACCAAGACAGATAGACATGGAATAACTACATCATGGATAGACAATGATTCCTTTTACTTACTTTTGAGTAAGTTTAACCTGCAAAGGCTGGTCTACAGTAATGCCTCATTTCACAAATGCTTCTGTTTGCAAATTGTTCAGTTCACAAACAGAAACTTTGTCAAAGTTTTGCTTCACTTCATAGAATATTTCAGGTAATGAACATGAACATTTTCCCTAGAATTATGCAATGAATTAGGTTTCTGAACCAAGGTACCGCTGCAGTTTTACTATATTCTTATTAACAAAACAAATCACTATTAAGATTTACCCACCGACTGTGCTGTTTCCTAGAATATCTTCTTTGACAGGCCTGCGGTGAGAAATTTCCCCCAGGACTGCAAGTCTGATAAATGTCTTGCTTGTCTCAAATTTTCTGTAACATATTCAGTAGGTGAGTGGCTGTGGAAGAAACAAGCTTCAATTATGAACCCAAATTCCTGGATCTCCTATTACATGCAAATAAGAAACTGTATATTGTCTTAACTCTGATGTTTTTAAACATATTTCAAAAAAGAAAACACACATCTTCTTATTGTTTTCAATGAAATGGCCTCACCTAATTTATGTGGCTAACAGCTGTCATTTCTATAAAGTTTTTCTGATAGAAATATGTTGGGTTTTATCATTCTAATATATATATATCAATTAAATTCTTTCATATTTCATATTTTTAGTCTCTGCATTCATTGGGTTACTTCTCAGATCTCTATGCATCTTTACTAACATATTGGATAGATGTTTAATCTTATATTTTCAATGAGACTTTTACTTCAAGGTAATTTTAGATTTATATGAAGTTTTAAGAAATAATACAGAAAGATATCTTGTAGATTTCAACCAGTTTCCCTCAAATGGTGACATCTTGCAAAATGATACACATTGCCATTGATACAATGTAGATACAGAACATTTTCATCACCACAGAAATTCCTCATTTTGCTTTTTTCTAACCAACCCAATTTTCCCACATCTACACCTGTCTCCAACCTTTCAAATTTACTAGTTTGTTCTCTACTGAAATAATCTTGCCATTTCAAAATGTTTTACAAAAATTTTTACAATTTTCTGCAATGTTATCTGTGCCAGTGCTTCTCACTTGAGAATACTTCCTACTGCTTTGTGATATAAATATTCCACACTCTTTAATCACTCACTCACTGAAAAATGAGTTGATTGTTTCCATTTTGGAATTATTAAGAACAAAGGTGCTATATACATGTAAGAACAGATTTTATGCAAAATGCATTTTATTTCTGTAGAATGTGAACTAAAGAATACAATGCTAGGTTGTATAGTGGTTGCAAACCTTTTAAGACATTACCAAAATGCTCTCAGGACATTTGTAGTATTGAACATTGCCATTGGTGATCCAGGAGTGACTCTATTTTTATATTTCCTTGTCAGGATGCAGGCTTTTCAATATTTTTTAATACAACTACTCTTGCCTGTGTATAGGACCATAATCTGGGGAATTATTTTTCCTTTTCCTAAGATTTACTGATGTTGAAAGCCTTTTCAAAGGTTTACTTGGCATTTTCTTTGAACTATTTCATCACAGAATTTTCCTATTTTTCTAACTGAATCCTTAATTTTTTGATTGCTGAATGTCCAGACTGCTTTGTATAATTTAAGTCGTAGACCTGTGGAAGGTGTATAGTACAAAAATATTTCCACCTAGTTTGTTGCTTATCACTTTATCTTATTTGGATCTGTCATAAAGAAAGCATTTTTAATTTTGTAAAGTCTAGTTTATAAATGATTCCATTTACAATGCACTTTTTTTGGTGTGAAGTCTAAGAAGTCTTTACCCTGTGTTAAATCCTAAAATTTTGCTAAAGTTTTCACAGTTTTCATAATGCACTTTGAAATTTGAATTCATGATCCACTTTTAATTTGTCTTTGTATATGTTTTGAAACATAACTCACTTTCATGTTTTTTATATATTTTTATATTTTTATTTGATATCTATTTCATTTTGCTGGTTATTTTTGTTTAATTGATGTCTGATGGCTTTGTCACATTTGTTGAAAATTTTATCTTTTCTCCTTTAAATTATTTTTGTATCATTGTCGCAGATTTTCTGTGTACATTTATGTGGGTCTATATTTCAGTTTTCTGTAGTATTACATTAAACTATATGGCTATCAAATGGTATTATATAGTTTGTCTTTTGTAGTTAAACAAGAAATCTTAATATTGGGTTATGTGGCTACTTTTTATTTGCTCTTATTTAGTAAAAATGTTCCAGTCAGTATAGTTTTTTTTTTCTTTTTTTATTTCTGCACTGATTTGGATTAATTTTGTGTATCTCTTTAAAGATCCATTTGTCCATTACAAGTATATTATTTATTTAAATAGTTGACATATCTATTGGAAATATATGTCCATCATTCTCCAGATCCTGAGGATACAAAAAACTATAAGGGAAGTTGTACTTTATTCTTTGTCTGCAGAACACAAATTTTCAATTTCTCCTACCTAGAAGGAAGTTCTCCAAGTTTCAGCCAAAATTTTATTTAATTTTCTTTTTTTGGTTTTTCTCCGGTACCGGGAACCGAACTCACGACCTTGCGCTTGCCAGGCAGGCGCTTTTGCCGCTGAGCTAAATCCCCAGCCCCTATTTAATTTTCAATGCCACTATACAGTTACTCTTTTATTTCAATCTAAATTGCACTTCATTTCAATTACTTAGTTTCCCTTTTGTGATATTGGAATGGGAGGAAAAAAGATAAATTATGGAAATTTAGAAAGTACATTAGCAATTAATATTCTTAAAAGATAATTTACTGAATACATAATAGGGGACAGAAACATCCAAAATCATTTAATATGATTTTTCTAGCAGAATTAATCCTGTCATATTTTACTTAAAATAATAAAAGTAAACAAACTTTAATGTCTTTAAAAAGAAAAAGAGTTATTTATCTGAGTGATGATTTTTGCAATAACATTGAATTAGAATGTCTTTGTTCTTCCTCAAGAATAGAGTTCTGAAAAATTGGCTGTTTTCTGAGAACTCTTTGGAGGAAAGATCAAGAATGATAATTCTAATAATTAGCAACTCACAGGAAAGACAATAATAGAACTCATGATAGGTCAGTAAAGGCTGAAGACAAGGTTAATAATTGTAATGATTATATAAAAACAATTTTCAGATAAATTTATTGTAGGACTCAGTTTTTAGTTAAATTTTATTAAATTAGCATGTATTTAGAAATCTTGGAATCATTATTGTATCTTTGCACTACACAAAATGTTGGACTGCTGGTGTATCAAAACCTTCACCATTACTAAAAGAAGTACTGAAGAATTTGAATTTAATAGATCTTATTTAAGCAAATAAATCCTCATGAATTAGAAATCACGCTGAAACAGTACAGGTACATAGCGCTTCACCCAACAATGTATGCAGAAAATATTTATGGAAAGAAAATGAAGTAATATGCACAAATATGTTGATTTGCAACAAGTCAGCCTGTGCCTTCTGTAAGCAGGGTGTGAAGAGCTTCATACGGACATGGTTGAATCAGTTGATAGTCCGCGACTGTCTAGAGCTCAGCTGCTGTGGCTGACACAGAATCAGCTATTTGTTCAAGAACATACTCTCAGGTGGATTGCGGCTTGTTTAAAATGACACTAGGTTGCAGTTACTTATGTATAGACTCAAAATATAGAGGAAGTTTTATGCCAAAAGTAATTTAAAAGTGAAAATAGAAATATTAAAGGTGATAGAAATATGACAAAACCTCCAGAGGGCAGTTACTTTCCAACTCTTTAAAATTAAACTGATAATAGAAAGGGGAACCTTACATATATGTTTGACAATAAGTGTAGGGGTATTTTGAATTATCTAAAACATACAAGTGATATCTTATCTCCTGCTAAGCACAACTTCATGTCGATGCTTGGGAAATATAAACTTACCTTTTACTCTAACAGTCCAGTGATATGTACAAAACATAAGATTAATGTGGTTTTCTACAATATTGTTTTGCAGAAATATATGTGTATCCTCCAACCTGCAGAGAAGCTGTGCTGTGCTGAATATATAACATCATACAGAGTGCGCTACAGGTTCAGTGTCACCAATGACGTTAACAGCACTCTAGAGTCTGTAAGATTTAGAGCATCTTCTCAACTCCTTAACCGACTACCAGCTAGTGGCTCAGGCCACAGGGCGATAAAGAAAAAATCACTTTGGTGTGATCCTTGAAAGGTCACTAAGAACCATCATATTTCAGCAAAGTTCTAGAGATTTGAGATGAAATAAGAAATAAATCAAAGAACATAAGTGAAATTGTTAAATTCCTTTGGCTGACCTTATACTGATAAATACAATACATACAACAAAAGTGGTAATTGATGAAGGGAAGAGGAAGTAAAACAGAATTCTGTCCAGCTTAAAGTACATATCAAAAAGACCATTTAAATGCAATGACCCAAATTGTAATAATAATTTAATCCCGCCATTGCAAAGCAAATTTCAAAAAAAAGCTAGCATGAATATTTTAAAGGTTAACTATGTCCATCAATTTCAAATTGTACCTACTATAAATTATCACCAAATTCACGGTTTAAAATAATACAAATCAATTGTTAGAGTTCTGAGGGCCAGAAGGCTGAAACATCTCACTAGCTTAAATCCAACATGTTGGCAGAGTAGCACTGCCTTTGGAGGTTTTAAGGATAAACCAGCCCTCTGCAGACACTGTGTAAGTTTGCCTTAGAGTACAATGATTATGGAATACCAAAGAACAACAGTTTTGAAAAAGTCACTGTAAAAGTTTCTTTCTATGCAAACTTCCCTTCTAGTTTGGCTTAACTCAGTGACAATTTTGCTAGCATGTATTTAATGGAAACATATCATCTATAACTACTAAAACAGAGGAGACAGATCCATGTTCCACCCAAGGCCATGGCCATATATTTTAAGTTCAAAATTGATGCTCAGATAAGTCTGATATATTGATAGGTTTTTCTAATTGTAAATATGATACACATCCTCACTCAGTAATGAAAAAGGACATATATATTTTCTGCAATACAAAACATTATAGAGAATAGACAAACTGAGTATTTATTCATCTAAAATGCAAGTAGGTGTGGTACATTATGAATTCATTAGAAGTATAAAGAGATATGTGACTCTTATTACATGAAAATATGACCTGAGTGCTCTGAAAAGCTAATAAAAACTACGTGGCATTGGATATCCTTGTGGTGATTGCAACATATTTCCAATATTCTTGTGGAAGCAGGAAATATTTAATTTATTCTCTTTATTTTCCTGTTAAATGGAATACTTTGACATAATAAATGCCATATTCTCCTGTTTGACATGTAAAAAGTCTCCTGCTAGCAGTATACTTTTTAATATTACTATGTCCCTAAGAAACAGCTGGAATAATTACAAAATATGCCCACAATGTCAGATACTCTATTAAACTGTATTATTATACTCAAGTATTACTATAAAAGATGCTTTCACTGTTCTTCAGTGAAATTTCAACCCAGATTTGTAGATGACAAAATAGGTAAGACTTTTTTTCAATAAAAACTATGCAGAAAGACAGTCCTTGAAGCTATAAGCAAGGAAAACTATACCCTCTGCCTTCATGTTCAAGGACTCATAGAAGAACAGAAGTTATATGGAATCATTCATTAAGTCATCTGTGTTCTGGCAATTTTTCATAAAATGTTAGATAAATAGGCACAGATAGCCTAGTCATGCTAGCTTATATTCTACTGAGTAAAGCAGAGGAAATACTGTTATGAAGGAAATACAATGAGGTAAAGATTAAAGAGTGGATCCAGTATTTTAATCTAATCTTGAAATATGAAAGAGTATGTAGAGATTCAATCTCACTAAGTAAGTGATAGTTGAATAAAATTGTGGCAGACTTTCTGAGTTTTCTGTAGGAAAAACTATGGCAGGCAACAGCCAAAGCAAAGGTAGGAGTGTGTCTGCTCTGCCTGAGAAACACCAAGGGAGTTGATATAGCTGGAGCTAAGAGAAGGAAAGAGAAATGAGGTTAAAGCAGAGCACATCTTGGCCAGCTTGGACTGTCACAGGAAAACAACATGGATGTGCTCCACAGTAGACATTATTTCTAACAATTGTGGAGGATGGAGGTTCAGGGAAAAGTGCCACAATAGTCAAGTTCTGGCAGGGGCTCTCATCCAGGGAGCATTTTCTGCCCTTGTATTGTGAGGAGGAGGCAAAGGAACTCTCAGTGTTTCCTTGGATAAGGATGCTGGTCCTATTCATGAGAGCTCCACCCTCAAGACCTAATTACCTTACAAAGTGACTGATGACATCACACCCAGGGGGTTATTTCAGGTAAACCATAAACATCTGGTCCATTGTATAGTGGAGTTCAAAATATGCAGATATCTTTCTCAGTTGTACATCTTGTTCAAGTTACTCGGCTCTGTGGACTATTCAGTTGTAAATACTTCTTCATTGCTTTTCTCTGCAGGTATTTTAAGTGCCTACAGAAAAATGAATTATATCCCAAGCATTTTTGCATCCACAACAGATGGAATAAAGCCTGATCAAAAGTAGATCCCCAAGAAACAATTTTACCAACAAAATGGGTAAAATACAGAAACTTGCCATTAAAAATTAACATCAAGATAAATTATTTTTCAATTTGCTTCCCAGCAACAATTTAGTGAGATAGTCATGTAGTTTATACAACCTAAATTTAAATAGAGTTTATTTATTTTTTTTTGCTCACAAGATTGAAAACTTGAAATTACTTAAGCTATTTAATTTATCGAAACCGTTCCGAAGAAAAAGGTAAAATTAGCTGCTTCCCTAAGGGTTAGTGATTATATTTCGACTTCAAAGTGGTTTCTGCTGAGATTCATTAAATTAAAGGCCAACTTTAGTAACTCATTGGTACATTTGTTCCCTCTCTTAAGCTCATGTCTTTTGCAGTATTTTTAATTTTAAAGAGAGAAAACAATGAAAGGAATGGTACAGAATCTCACAACAAGATAGTAGGAGATTAACAATGTTTAATACATTGGGTATTGTTACCATCAAAGTAGTTGCTTAGATTACAAGATAAGGCCTGAAAAATTGATCAAACAATGTAAGCGCAAAACTTTCTTTTCAATAGAAATTAGTAGTGTAGGTATCTTAGCTATCTTGCATTTTTCTCTTCATTCTTTTTCCCTTCATTCTTTTGTCCTTTCTCCCATCCTGGTTGTTCTTACGCTTTTGAGCAGTTTCATCCCATTTCACAATACCTATTGTACATTTTGGATCTTATTTACTTTTTCAGTTTCTTACACTAGGGAGACAATATTATGTTTACACTTGTGAGTCTGATTTATTTCACTTATGATTATGGTCTCATATTGCACCCATTTATGTATAAAAGCCTAGAGTTTATTATTCTTTACAGTTGAATAGTACTCCATTGTTTAAAACTATGTCTTCTTTATTCATTCCTCAGTTGATAGGCATTTGAGTTGTTTCCAGTATTTACCTATGATAAATTGTGCTGCTATAAACATGGGTACACATATATTGTTGTGGTATGATGTTTTTAATTCTTCTAGGAGGGGAATAGCTGGGTCTAATGGGACTTCTAATCCTAGTTTCTCAAGGAATCTCCACACTGGTTTCCACAGTAGTTGTACTGTAATGGAAATTTAAAAAAATAAAAATCAACCAGTAGTCTGACACCATATTTGGATAAAATAAGTTCATGCAGCCCACCACATAGCTTCTCTGTTAGACTCACTCATCCTTGACTTACTAAACCAAAGATAAAGTGACCCAGTCCAGTTTAACCAGACCCAGCTTCACAGCCTGTACTTTCTAGTTTCCAAATATACCATTTGTTAACTTGTTTCAAGGATTTTCAGCTCAACAACAAAGAAAATCTGACACTTCTATAATAAAATTAACTACACTTTTAGGACTTTGTACTTCCTGCTTGCAAACCTGTATAAATGAAGCCCAAAGTTGGCTCTGGGCTGATGCTTTGGGAGCGAACCCGCATTAGCCAACTGGCATTATAAAGTTCATTGTCTACTACTCCTTGGTGCAGAGCATTTTCCATTCAGTTTGGTACCATTTCCGCAACAATACCAGTCTACGCTCCCACCAACAGTGGAGGAGGGTTCCTTTTTCCCACAGCCCTGTTAGCATTTGGTATTGGTGTATTTCTTGATGATAGCCAGTCTTCCTGGGGTGAGATGGAATCTCAGTGTTTTAATTTGCATTTCTCAATTGACCAGTGATGTTGAATATTTTTCATACATTTATTTGATATTTTTATTTCTTCATTTTTGGATTAGGTGTTTGAATTTGGAGGGCCTCGTGTTTTTTAATTCTTTCTACTTTCTAAATAGATGTCCTTTGTCTGAAGGACAGTTGGCTAAACTTTTACCCCACTCTATAGGTTTTCTCTTTACTTTCTTGGTGATTTCTTTTGATGTACAAAAACTCTTTAATAGGATGAGATCCCAGTTGTTGATTCTTTGAAGCACTTTTCATGCAGTTTCTGTCTTGTTCATGAATCCTCTGACTTTCCCTGTTTTTAAGATTTTTACCCACTGTCTCTTCCAGTAGATTTAGTGTTTCTTTTTTAATATTTAGATCTTTGATCCACTCTAACTTTAGTTGAGTGCATGGTGATTATTGTAGTCAGTGTTTGCAAGGGAAACAATTTAATAGAGGACACATAGTTTTTCTGATTATTTTTACAATAGTCATCCAAAGAGTAATATACAAAAGAGTGCAGGAAATCTATCCACACCCTAGAGACCCAAAGAATTCAACTGAAGGTCTGGATCCTATAGCAATGTCCTGCATGAATCCAGTTGAAGGTCTAGAGCCCATGGTAACATTCTCTGTGAGTCCAGTTTGAGGCCTAGAGCCCGTAACAATGTCTCATGCAAGTCTATATCAAGGATCTGCACTGGAAAGGCCCAAAAGTTAGTAGTGGAACTAGAAAGTCTGTGCCAGTGGGATGAAGGATCTGTGCCAGCAGGCCGAGGGAGGTACACTGGAGCCAGGAAGTGATGCTCACAGTAAGGAACAATGCTCCCCAAAAAGTACCACAGCCATCCTCAGCAAAAAAGAGGTCACGAGCTCCTCTAATGATGAAAACAGCTGAATTCATATCAGGAAACCCAGTGCAATAATCTTCTCCTAGATACTGAACAGTGTACCATCTTTCTGCCTGGATCCAAGAAGCAATGCTCCAAGTAAGGCACAGAATTTCCCCAGAGTCAACCATAGCTATTCTCAGCAACAAAAAGGTCCTAAGCTCCTGTAACAATAAGAACAGCTGAGTTCCTATCGGGAAAGTCAATGTGACAAACTCCTCCAGGAGAACCAACAGTACCCTCTCTTCTTATCCATTTCTCCTTTTTATATTGGTGGCAACAATCCTCAAGTGGGCCCTCCACATCAAGCACCATGCTGATTCAGTTCAGCTAGGTGTTACAAATTGGCCACCAGTTGTGCATCTACCACAATGATATACATGAGTCTAGTTTTAGCCTTTGGTTTGTGGAAAGCCAGTTTTTCCAACACCATTTATTAAAGAGACTATTTTTACTTCAGTGAACATGTTTGAACCCTTTGTCAAATATAAGATGGTACAGTATATTTCTAGTTGTGTATGCATGTTGTAGTGTATCTCATGGTTTCTCAGGTCTGTGTTTTTGCCAGTTCCATTTTGGTTTTAACATTGTAGGTTCGTAGTATAATTTCAAGTCAGGGATTGTTATGCCTCCTGCCTTGCATTTGTTGCCCAGGATTGCCTTTGCTATTCTAAGTCTCTTCTGTGCCCAAATGAATTTTGGGAATTCTTTCTGTAGACCTGTGAGGTCTGCTAATGATATTTTGATTGGGATTGCATTAAATTTGTATAATAGTTCTTAGAGTATCCCCATTTTCACAATGTTAGTTCTTCCTATCCATGAGCAAGGGATATCTTTCCATTTTTCAATACCCTCTTTGATCTCTATTTTCAGAGTACTGTAATTTTCAATGTACAGATCTTTTACTTTGTTTGATTACTAAGTATTTCATTTTTAGATGCTATTGTGTAGGCTGTTGCTTCCCCAATTTCTCTCTCAGTAAATTTGTTGTTTGTGTACAGGAATGCTAATTATTTTTGAATGTTGATTTTGTACTGAGGTATTCTACTGAATTTGCTTGCTAAATCTAAAAGTCCTTAGATAGAGTTTTTGGGGTCTTCTATGTAGCATATTAGTTCATCTGCAAATAATGATGATTTAACTTCTTCCTTTTCTATTGATATTCCTTTTATTTCTCTCTATCCTGTCTAATTGCTCTGGCTAATGCTTCAAGAATTATATTGAATAGGAATAATGATAGTGATTACCCTTGTTTTGTTCCTGATTTTAGAGTGAAAAATTTCATTTTTTGCCTATTTAATAATCTCATCAGATTGAGATAAAGACCATCTATTGTGATTTTCTGTAGAATTTTTATCATGAGTGAATGTTGGACTTTACCAAAAGCTCTTTCTGCATCTGTTGAGATCATCCTGGGATTCTCATCTTTGGCTTTATTGATATGGTGTATTACATTTATTGATTTGCTTGTGTTGAACATCTTTGTATTCCTGAGATGAATCCCACTTGGTCATAGTGTATAATCTTCTTGATGATTTGCTTCATTCTGGTTGTTAGTATCTTACTGAGGTTTCTTGCATCTATGTTCATTAGGGAAATTGACCTACAGTTCTCTTGTTTTGGTTGGGTCTTTCTCTTGTTTTGGTATCAAGGTACTACTTGCCTCCAAGAATGAGTTAGTGAGTATTGCTTCCCTTTCAATTTCATTAAAGAATTTGAAGAGTATTGGCATTAGATCTTCTCTAAATTTCTTGAAGATTTCAGCCAGTAATAAAGAGCTGGGCTTTTCTTTATTGGTACATTTTTTATTTAAGTTTTTATTTTCATTAAGTGATATTGGATTATACAGAATTTTTATATCTTCTTGATTCAGCTTTGGTAATTCATATATATCTAGGCATGTGTCGATTTCTTCTGTGTTTTCCATCCAAGAGAGTAGAGATTTTCAGAGTAGCTATTAATATTTTTCTGAATTTCCACAGGATCTGTGGTGATTTCACACTTTTCATTACTCATTACATGTATTTGATTCTTTCATTCCTTTTTTAGATAAGATTGGCTAGGTGTTTTATTTATTCTTTCAAACAAACAACTCTTCAATTCATTACTTCTTTGTATTGTTTTCTTAGTCTCCATTGCATTAATTTCTTCTCTGATCCTTGTAATTTCCTCCCTTATATGAGCTTTACACTTGAGTTTCTCTTCTTTTCCTAGAATTTTGAGGTGTAGCATTAGATTGTTTATTTGTGCTCATTCTGTTTCCTAAAGTGAAAATTGACTGCTATATATTTTCCTCTTAGAACTGCTTTCATTGTGTTCCACAGGTTCTGGTATGTTGTACTTGCATTTTCATTTGATTGTGTTTTGTGAATTTATTTTTGTTTAATTTTAATATTTTATTTGTATATCATATTTTGATTACATGTTATTTAACTTTTTCTTTATTTTCATCTGTGACCCATTGGTTGTTTAGGAAGGTGTAATTTAATTTCCATGTGTTT